ACACTGCATCCACTAAACACAGTTCATCTAATACACACAAACACTACATCCACTACACAAACACACACTACATCACTGTACACACACTACATCCACTACTCAAACACACTCTGCGTTCACTATACACACTGCATCCGCTACACAAACACACACTCTGCATTCACTGCACAAACAGTATCTAATACACACAAACACTACATCCATTACACACATTCTAATTCACTTCCACTATACACACCACATTCAGTCCTGCATCATTGTCAGCGGACTAGGTAGGGCGTGGGTGGGCCCGGCGGGAAGGAAGGGGAGGAGGGCTCAGACCTTGTGCTTTGTCAGGGCCCCCAAAATTTCTCATGGTGGCCTTGTGTGACCCAGCCTCTATATATAAGCTGGAGTCACGTAGCGCCGCACGTCACATGAGCTCTTTTTAGTGTAGGGAGAGGATGCTGCAGCTATGAGGAACAGATTAGGAAATAATTCTGGTGTTGAATCTGCAAACTACAGCGATTATTTTTGTGGGTGCTATACTACATTTTTGTACCCTGCCCTAAGCCCAGTGCCACAGAGAGTGCATTGCACTTGCAACTGCATGTGTGCCAGGCACATTACTTTAATCCTGTTCTGGTAGCTCAGTGGGCAACATCTAGGCATTTTTAAAAACTGCAATTTGTTTGGTGCTAAATAGTACATTTGCGTCCTGCATTTCTTGCAGTCCAATAATACCCTTAAATACTACTGTTACATTGTTGGTTTAAAAAAATCACTCTTTTTTGTGCTAAATAGAACATTTGCGGCCTGTGGTGCATTTCTTGCAGTCCAATAAAACCCTTAAATACTACCGTTACATTGTTGGTTTAAAAAATCTAACTTTTTGGTGCTAAATAGTACATTTGCGGCCTGCGGTGCACTTCATATCTGAGAGTCAAAAAGAACCGTCAAATACTGTGGTTACAAAGCAGTTTTAAAAATCCTTATTTTTTAGGTGCTAAATAGTACACTTGGGACCTGCACTTCATATCTGAGAGTCAAATAGAACTGTCAAATACTGTGGTTACATCGCACTTTGAAAAATTCAAATTTCTTTGGTGCTAAAAAGTACATTTGTGGCGTGCACTTCATATCTGAGAGTCAAATAGAACCGTCAAATACTGCTGTGACATAGCAGTTTTAAAAATTCTAATTTTTTTCGTGCTAAATAGTACATTTGCGGCCTGCGGTGCACTTCATATCTGAGAGTCAAATAGAATTGTCAAATACTGTGGTTACAGCGCAGTTTTAAACATTCAAATTTTTAGGTGCTAAAAAGTACATTTGTGGCGTGCACTTCATATCTGAGAGTCAAATAGAACCATCAAATACTGTGGTTACATCACACTTTGAAAAATTCACATTTCTTTTGTGCTAAATAGTACATTTGGTGCCTGCACTTCATATCTGAGAGTCAAACAGAACCGTCAAATACTGTGGTTACATCGCATTTTGAAAAATTCTAATTATTTTGGTGCTAAATAGTGCATTTGGGGCCTGCACTTCATATCTGAGAGTCAAATTAAACAGTCAAATACTGCTCTGACATTGCAGTTTGACTAATTCACATTTCTTTTGGTGCTAAAAAGTAAATTTGTGGAATGCACTTCATATCTGAGAGTCAAATAGACCCGTCAAATACTGTGGTTACAGCGCAGTTTTAAACATTCAAATATTTTAGGTGCTAAATAGTACATTTGGGGTGTGCACTTCAAATCTGAGAGTCAAATAGAACTGTCAAATACTGTGGTTACATCGCACTTTGAAAAATTCAAATTTCTTTGGTGCTAAAAAGTACATTTGTGGCGTGCACTTCATATCTGAGAGTCAAATAGAACCGTCAAATACTGCTGTGACATAGCAGTTTTAAAAATTCAAATTTTTTTCGTGCTAAATAGTACATTTGCGGCCTGCGGTGCACTTCATATCTGAGAGTCAAATAGAATTGTCAAATACTGTGGTTACAGCGCAGTTTTAAACATTCAAATTTTTAGGTGCTAAAAAGTACATTTGTGGCGTGCACTTCATATCTGAGAGTCAAATAGAACCATCAAATACTGTGGTTACATCACACTTTGAAAAATTCACATTTCTTTTGTGCTAAATAGTACATTTGGTGCCTGCACTTCATATCTGAGAGTCAACTAGAACCATCAAATACTGTAGTTACAGCACAGTTTTAAAAATTCAAATTTTTTAGGTGCTAAATAGTACATTTGGGGCCTGCACTTCATAACTGAGAGTCAAATAGAACCGTCAAATACTGCTGTGACATTGCAGTTTGACTAATTTAAATTTTTTTGGGTGCTAAAAAATACATTTGTGGCATGCACTTCATATCTGAGAGTCAAATAGACCCGACAAATACTGTGGTTACAGCGCAGTTTTAAACATTCAAATATTTTAGGTGCTAAATAGTACATTTGGGGTGTGCACTTCATATCTGAGAGTCTAATAGAACTGTCAAATACAGCTGTGACATAGCAGTTTTAAAAATTCTAATTTTTTTGAGCTAAATAGTACATTTGCGGCCTGCGGTGCACTTCATATCTTAGAGTCAAATAGGCCCGTCAAATACTGTGGTTACAGCGCAGTTTTAAACATTCAAATATTTTAGGTGCTAAATAGTACATTTAGGGTGTGCACTTCATATCTGAGAGTCAAATAGAACCGTCAAATACTGCTGTGACATAGCAGTTTTAAAAATTCTAATTTTTTTTAGCTAAATAGTACATTTCCGGCCTGCGGTGCACTTCATATCTGAGAGTCAAATAGAACCGTCAAATACTGTGGTTACAGCGCAGTTTTAAAAATTCAATTTTTTTAGGTGCTAAATAGTACATTTGGGGCCTGCACTTCATATCTGAAAGTCAAATAGAACCATCAAATACTGTGGTTACAGCGCAGTTTTAAACATTCCATTTTTTTAGGTGCTAAATAGTACATTTGGGGTGTGAACTTCATATCTGGTGTATGTGTGCAACACTGGCTAGTTACCGCTTCTCAAGAAAGTCTAAAGACTTTTTAAAAAAGTGAAAAATAAGTCTTATTGTGATCGCTTCATATACAAAAGCATTATTATACATTTCTATACTGTGTAAAAACACAAATACAATGTTAAAAACCCAACACCAAAACAACGTGCCAGACAATCTACTGATTTGGATCAAAGAAAACTTTGATAATTTGTCTATCTACACCTTCCAAATTGATTGATTAATGCGTGCACGCTTTCCCTAGAAGTAATTCACACCGGAGACAAAGTTTCTGATCAGTGAAAAACCAAGGAATGCTTTATTCCCCGGAGTGGGGGCTCCTTCTTAAAGCAAAAATATGTCACAGTTTAAACATACAGTATACATTCAACAATTTGTTAACAGTCTAAGGGGTCTTGTCTAAACCCCCCTACAGGATGTAGTGTCGTCATTACAGACTTCCCCCGCCTATATTCCAGCTCCTGGATACACGATGACAGGGGGAGTGAGTAGTCTCTTTCAGTTACTTTAACAGTGATTCTCCATTTTGTTACACGTGGCATATAGCTGTTAACTGGCACAAAGGAAGTGGGGGAGGAGTTAGTAAAGGAAGCTGTTAACACAGGAATTTTGGTTACACGAGGTTTGCTTGATGGGAAGGGGGATGCTTAGCAGGATGTGAGGAATTTACAGAGGAAACAGCAACTGAACACATTGTAGGGGGGGAAGGGAATATTTACTCTAGCAGCCAGTTTTAACATAGTGTACATAGAATAAATAGACATTAGTAAATAGCCATTTTATTCTAATTTATCTGTCCATAACAGTCCCCCCTTAAAATGGCAATTTTACTAGAAACTACTATCTCTCACTCTAATACTGTCCCTATAGAAAAATAACAAAGGCTATCTTGCACATCTATCTGAACAGGCCTCGAACACTTCACTGCGCGGGTAACCCGTAGTAGCTTGTCCACTACTTCTTCCCGCGACAGACTTCTGCCCGTAAAGACAGACGCTATCCCTGAATGTCCTTAAGAGGAAGTAGCTGTTGATTTAGTGCGGTGGGACTGTAAGGGTGTATGTGGTGTATCACGGTCTATGTCGTCAATCTCTTGGTGAAGGAAGGTCGGGGTGGTCTGGTCAACTGTCTTTTGTAGGCATTTCTTAAGACAGGGTAACACACAACAAACAAGAAGAGCGAGGATGATTATCGTTATTAAAATGGCAACACCTATTTGGGCCAGAGCACCTTGCCATCCAGTCATCCGTCCAAACCATCTTTCCCATGGATCTGCGGCCCCAGAATTTCGTTTCAGCTCGTTGGACAAACTCTTTAACTTTTCTATTGCCAACGTTACCTTACCATTAGGGCCTGTATTATCTGGAATATAGGTACAGCATGTTATGGTGTCTGGGAGTATTTTACATACTCTCCCTTTTTCTGCCAAAATCATTTCCAAGCTTATTCTATTCTGGAAGGTCATCTGAGAGGTAGTTTGTAACCGCCCTATTCCCACCATATATCCCATAACAAGTATAGTTCCCGGGATATATAGTAATGCCTTCGTCTGGGCATAATATTTTTAGTAATGATTGGGTATTAAGTTTCCATGACTCGCATGCTGACCGCTTAGGTTTAAATACAGTGTAGAGACTTAAAAAGCATACTTCATATCCGGAGGAAGGTTCAGGGATACTGTACCTGGGTGAGGCCTCGCTCCTCCGCAGACATAGCAGTTAGACTTGTTATGTTTAGTAGCATTGTATTTCATCCATTCAAGTCACAAGTTAGTGTCAGAGAAACCTGTCTCTACAGCTCTAGTATCCTCAAATATGGGATGACTACCATGTCTTTTAAAGTCCTAATGTGTGGTTTGAGGGGATTAACAGTCATGTGCGTGGCACCTACCCATTCAGCTGAGTCATACATGTCCTGTAAGAAAAAGGTCTCCTGTTTATTGTATAAACCTCTTCCCTTCCAATTCAGATGTTATTAGCCGTAATGCTTGGGAGAATAGATTCAAACTTAGTTTCTTACCTTAAAATCATTTGGTACCCCCCTTGACACCCCTATGGCATTAATATATATATATATATATATATATATATATGTGTGGGTAAAACCACCCTTTATAGGGGTACTCCTTTTTGTCCTGAAGCATGAATGAGGTGTGTCAAGAGTACCTTGGGGATTGTGTTATGTGCATGGACATAATAACCTAGGCTAGGGCACATTTACTTATTCTTAATCTTAGAAATCTTGTCTCATGCTACCCTAGTACTGGCAGATTCAGATCATTTAAACATTCAATATTAATATCACCACAAACTCAAGATAAGCAGATGATCCTGAAGAAGCTTTGACTGTGCGTATGGCACCTCAGACGTAAGGGCTGCAGGGTAAAAAGTATGTCTGTTTTTCTTTAGTTTCACGAGGTCCCCTTTTGGGGTATTCGGCTTTCCATCGATGGCAGGTGGTCAGGCATTATTATGGCCATCAAAACACCCACTTGTTGATATTTATTTATTTTCAACAAGTATCTTTGTTCTCTAAGAATGGAGTTTCAAAAAGGGTTGTCAAGATCAACAAATGCTACTTTACATGATGCAGAGGCAGGCTTGATTCTGGAATGATGAATCCACGGGGTGATCTCTGTAACTTTCATGGTGCACTACTCAGCATGTGGTCTTGGTTATCACTTTGGTGGCTGGATAGGCCTCTGGCCATCCTGAAAACATGTCTGCTATAATTAGTGCATATTTGAATCAGCCACTCTTTGGCATTCTGGATGTAGTCAACTTGACTCCTCTGGAAGAGATAATGAGGTTTGGCTAGATGCTCAGGGCTTTCCTCCATTCTTCCTGAGTTGCCCTTGGCACAAATGGCACAAGATTTACAGTAACTGTTGGTCAGAGAGGCAATTCCTGGTACTTCAGAGAATTTATTGATCAAAAGAGTTCATGAGGTTTCTGGACAGATGCTCCGTAGGCCCACTGGACCACTGCTGAGTATATGTTCTTGGGCAAGCAGAACTTGAGATTGTTGAAGTACAGCCTCTCTTTAAGGGTTGCCCCTTTCTGTTTCCAGCTTGTGTTTTTTTTTTTTCCTTTCCAGGGTCAGTAGCTGCTTGTTATTCCTTCGGGAGCTTGATGTCTGTGGGTAGGATCTTACATGGTGAATATGGGAGTTTCTTCAGCAGACACTTTTCTGTCCACTTCCCTTAGTGCACTTACAACTTCTTGAACAACTTGGTCAGCCAGAGAGTTGCCACATGCTTCCTCTGAGTTCAGTCTTCCTTCAGAGATCTTGCATGCTGTGATGGGAGCCTATAGCTCAGCTTCTTGTGCAGACATTGTTGAGGTGAGATACTTGGTCCACTGTAGTGACAGCAAATCCGGAACAGATCATAAGGAAAAGGCTAAAAAAAATAATAATCAGTGTCTTATCATTTCCCCCCCTGGGAAGTGGCAGAAGAGTGGCCAGGTAAATAGAGTATCATCCCTGCAGGGTGACACTATCCTGCACAGAATTCGTCCATCACAAGGAGAGGTGGGATATTGCATGGAAAGTCTCAGGGAACCAGGGCACCATTCGACACCAGAGCCTTAACCTGTTAGGGAATAGTAAGAGCTTGGACAGGCTTCGGGGCCTGTATAATTCAGGTAAAGGTATTGGGGGAACTAGCTAGGACCCTTGCCTCTTGGTCAGGTTTCACTGTGTGGAACAAAATAAATAATAAGGTGATAGGGGCCTGCAAGTGGGGGAAGGACATCTGCACCTAGCAGATTAATTGGACAGGTGAAGGTAACCACAAAGCAAGGCTTAGTTAACAGGCTACTCCAAGGAGAGCCATCTACACTTATGCAGGAGACAACAATGTTAGACAGTAATGAGGAGTCAGGCAGGCCTTGCTTGGTACAAATAGATGTCATGTGGCCTGCTATACAAGGCTGCATGTAGCCGTTGGGTATGGGCCTTATTATGTTCTAAAACCTAAGTTGAAAGAAAATTTGGGACAACCTGAAGTGATACTTCTCCACAGATGCTAACTCATCGTTGATGACATCGTTAATACAGGTAGCCTGATCAGCCAATTTATCTTAGGCTTAAACAAGTCACACCATCTAGTGGAATGGGTCATTAAGATTCGGCCAATTCTACAGTAAAGGGCATAGTAAGGATAGATGTGATGTTACTTTAGGAGTAGGCGTGGCTGTGGATAGGGGGAAATCAGCCTTATCCAATCCCATATATTATTCCTTTTGTCTTCAGTATATCCAAAACATGTGTATGTCCAGGCGTTGCAATATACAGTAATCCGTTATCAGTCATGATATTAAAATCTCATTCTCATGAATTAAATCAAAGATTTTAAATCAACCTCAGAAGCAACAAAGAATAAATCTATTGTTTTTCTTCTGTAAAATGATTGGTGTTACTGTATAATTGCATACACCCAATATATCATAGATTGCATGTCTCCTAACTGCTACATTAGTGTATTTCATTCTGCCATATTTGCAAACTTGATGGACATTTTTATTTTAATTAATTAACCTAATACTTTCTTATAACACACATAAAAACAATGAAAGACAGTACAGACTAACAACTCATTTAAAACAATAAACTAACATAGATCTCTATTCTTGTGCTGTTCTTAATTCTGGAATCAGCCTGTGTACATCTGTTGGCACACATATCCATGCTCATTCCCTAAACTGATCATATCTATTGAAGTTATCTGATTCTTATAACTTTCTGTGTTACGCTGCATTGCTTGTCTGTCTCGTAATTTTGATTTAGCTAAAATTGTTCTTATTTTTCTGATTATCAGTTTACAAGGAAAGGCTTTAATTGATTTATCTCCACATGTATTTTCTCTGTCAAAATTTTCAATCAACAAATTTAATTTCTCATTTGCTTTTGATTTGATATCTCGGATAAAATATCTGCAAGATCTTAAATAATGTTGTTTATTGCACCAAAAACAAATCATTTTAGGAGTTATATTCTGTTTTTGATTAACTCTACAGTTTTTAGTTGAACACATTGGGAGGGGCTCGGCTGTCTGTATCACTCTTTTACACTCTGTCCTAGAAGAAGGAGGAGGAGGAGGACGAGGGGTGTAAAATCTGCACTTCTTTCTCTGCGTCTAACAAGTCAGTGTAACCCCTTCATGTCTGGATATTTCCTTACTTAATCTAAGAATAAAGCAACTTCCTTTAGGGACGTGTCAACAAGGCCTATAGTGAAAAGAATGCCAGGTCCACTGTGAAGCATGGTGGTGGCTCACTGATATTTTGGTGGGGTGAGGGGAGCTTTAAAGGCACAGGGAATATTGTGAAAATTGATGGCGAATGCAGCATGTTATCAGAAAATACTGGCAGACAGTTTGCATTCTTCTGCATGAATGCTGCGCATGGGACGCTTTTGGACTTTCCAGCATGACAATGACCCTAAGCACAAGGCCAAATTGATCCTTCATTGGTTACAGCAGAAAAAAGGGGAAGGTTTCCTGACCTTACTGTCATTGAGACACTCTGGGGAGATCTCAAACATGCGTTTCATGCAAGTCGACCAAAGACTTTGCATGACCTGGAGGCAAACAAAACAAAAATTCTCCTGCTATGGGGAGTAATGCAAATGTCCAATCATTGTTGATAGAGAAGGCAATGTAGGGGCACTATGCCAGGGTGAGACTCATTTCCAGAACGTTGTTCAACCCACCCCTTGTATGGCAGGGGCGTTTTAGCCGCGAGGCAAACAAGGCATTTGCCTTGGGCGGCATTTTTCAGGGGGCGGCAAAAAACGCCGCCCCCCAAATGCCCAGGGCAGATGCCTTGTTAGCCTTGCGGCTAACTGACATCCCGAGCCGAGCGGCGCTGGCGGGCGGCCGGCGAGGGAGCACTTCCCATGAGCTGACTGCTCAGCTCCCTCGCCGGCCGCCCAGCCAGCGCCGCCCGCCTGCAGCCACTGGACCACCAGGGAGAGAGACCCCCCCAGCACTCCCAAAGGTAAGGAGGTTGGGGGGGGGATTTAAATTAAAAAAAAAGTTAATGTGTGTGTGTATGTGTCTGACTGTGTGTGTGTGTTTGTGTCTGTGTCTGTGTCTCTGTGTGTGTTTGTGTCTGACTGTGTTTGTGTCTGTGTATGTGTCTGACTGTGTGTGTGTGTATGTGACTGTGTGTGTGTGTGTCTGTGTGTGTTTGTGTCTGACTGTGTATGTGTGTGTGTGTGTGTGTCTGACTGTGTGTGTGTCTGTGTGTGTGTTTGTGTCTGACTGTGTGTGTGTGTGTCTGACTGTGTGTGTGTGTGTGTGTGTGTGTGTGTGTTGTGTGTATGTGTCTGACTGTGTATGTGTGTGTGTGTGTGTCTGACTGTGTGTGTCTGACTGTGTGTGTGTTTGTGTCTGACTGTGTGTGTGTGTCTGACTGTGTATGTGTGTGTGTTTGTGTCTGACTGTTTGTGTCTGTGTATGTGTCTGACTGTGTGTGTGTGTGTTTGTGTATGTGTCTGACTGTGTGTGTGTGTTTGTGTCTGACTGTGTGTGTGTGTATTTAGAAGGTGGGGCGGGGGGAAGCGTTGGGTGGGGGTGGCGTGGGGGGGAGGGGGCGCCTGAGTTTTGTCCTGCCTAGGGCAGCACAAAACCAGGATACACCACTGTTGTATGGTCCAAGTAAAGTTTTGTACTGGTGAGCTACTAAATGGACCAGCCAGCTCACATTGAGAAAGATCCTTAATTCCAGTTTGGAAATAGGGTGGACTTGGGTGTGCCAGCATAGGTGCTTCCTGGATCCAGAAAGCCAACTACAGGCAATCACCACCCCTTGAGAAACCATGAATCGTCTGACCGTAGGATGGGCTCCCGCCGTTGTCCTTTCAGGCAGGCCAATGTCGGAGCTGTATCCTCAGTCCTCCAATTGACCTCATGGGGTGGGCTCAGTGGTGAGTATTCAAGCAGGGTCTCCGAAACTATAGGGCACAGATGAGCTTCCATTTTCCAAACGGAGTTCTACATCTGATCTCTCACAGCTAGGGCCTAGGAAGCACGTGGCCTCTGCTATCTTGTGGGTTATGCTGCCACCTGACTTGTGCCTCAGTGACAGTGCTGCATTCTCACTATGTTGCGGTAGATCATCCTAAGGATAGCCTCTGCCGGTCCAGAGGGATGGAGACGAGGGCAGAGATTCGGATTCCCGACAATTTGTGGCAGCAGCCATCCCCTCTGCAACAATCATGCGTGTAGGCCACACAAAAAGGTACATAGTTACATAGCTGAAAGGAGACATGTGTCCATCAACTTCAACCTTCCTCAGATATGTTTTTGCTGTTGATCCAAAAGAAGGTGTGAACAAAATGGACTTTTA